AAATGTTGAAAAGTTAAGCTGGAACGTCTCAGCTCCAACAGTTTCCAGATTAAAAACGAAGCTTGATTTTTGGGTGGTAACACCTCAGATTGATGTTAGGAGAGTTTCAGATCAGGGGCAAAGGACTCATGGTCACATCTGTGGAACCTCTGGCGTTTATGTTTCAAGCATGAACATTTACTGAAGGAAATTGATGAAAATGGATATCTGCTGTGGACAGAGTGGGGAAAAAAGACAACAAAAACAGAAATAGTCAAGGAGAGACAGCTTGTGGACAGGAAGGTGAGAAGCAGACAACTTTTTTTTTAAAGGGCTGAGATGTAAATAAAAACTGGGAGGAGAACAGGCTGTTATGATCTCAGGACCTGAGAGAATGAAAGCAGGCGTTGATTCAAGCCAGGCCAGATGGAGAGGAGGAACAGGACGATGATAAAGAGATGAGATCAGTGCATTGTCTGAGGTGAGGTAGTCCACTGCTTTAGTAAATTAATGTCTGTCGCAGCTATTAGTCTATTTTTCATGTCTGTTTTTCTCTGTGAAGTATTTAGCGCTGTGCAGATAAATGTGACTCGACTTTATTGTTTTTGAAATCAACCAAACTAAACTGACAGGAGAGACTGCAGCATCTGTTGTAAAACTCCCTCAGCACTTGATGATTATCAAAACACAGAGACACGATGTAGCATGAAATGGGGTGTGAAATTTTACCATGTTTTTTTGTGGACATTTGACACACGTGAAAGCTTGTGATCACTTCTGAGTGTCTGGAGGGTAAAATGATGAAAAGAAAGACAGTAACAGGTTCAGGCAGGATTCACATTTTGAAATGGTGCACAAGAAGTTCACATTTCAAACTTTTATACCATAGGTGTGCAATTTTGACAAAGAGTATATCTAAATGGCTTTTACTGCATCTCTGGGGTCTGATTAAAGTGGCATTTGTATCATGTTTAGAAAGGCAGCATGGTGGTGCAAGGCTTCGTGCTGTCACTTTGTGCCTGTGTGGGGTTTTTTTTGTTTCTTTCAACAGTTTATAGTTTACATGCATGGTACGTCATTCTGTAATTCTAAATTGGCAGTAAGTGTGAGTGGTTTTCTGTCTCTTTGTGTTAGTTCTGCGATGGACTGTCCAGGATGTCCAGTGTCAGCTGGGATAGGCTTCAGTCACCTGTGACTCTCTATAGCACGGGTGTCGAATCCTGGTCCTCGAGGGCCGCAATCCTGCATGTTTTAGATGTGTCCCTCTTCCAACACACCTGATTCAAATGATCAGGATCGTTATCAGGCTTCTGTAGAGCTTGATGATGAGCTGATCATTTGAATCAGGTATGTTGGAAGAGGGACATATCTAAAACATGCAGGATTGCGGCCCTCAAGGACCAGGATTCGACACCCCTGCTCTATAGGATTAAGCAGGTATTGATAACTGATGGATGGACTGACAAGAGTAATTGTGCACAAGAAAACTCAGTGGAATCACTATTCTGTCAAAACTCGGAGGAGATTTTAAAGAAGAAAAAAACTCACAGGTACATGAGAGACTGGAGCCCAGTGAAGGTGTCCTGGGACAAGATGCTCAGTGGGTTATGATCCAACATCCTGGCACCAAAAAAAAGAGCAAACTGTATTAATGTATAGTTCAACATTTTGAGGAACAGGTTTATTTTGTTTTAGGAGCAAGGTGAGAACATGTATACTACTCACGTTGGTCCTTGATGTATTATAAATCTGTTTTTCAGTCCAAGTCAGAAATGCATGCATTTTGCTAACCTGACTTCAAAAAAAATCATTCACATCTGAACATTCCAGTGCATTTCAAGCCCACCAACACCCTGAGACAGAAGCTGGTTCACCCTAAGGACAAGACACCAAGACACAAACAAAGCAACATGGTGTACGAAGTCCAGTGCAGCGAGGAATGCCAGGACCTGTACATCGGCGAGACAAAACAACCGCTCCACAGGCACATGGCTCAGCACAGAAGAGCAGCTCCTCAGGACAGGACTCAGCAGTCCACCTGTATCTTTAGGACAAAGGGCACTCATGTGAAGACAACAATGTACCGATTTTGGCCTGCAGGGAGGACAGATGATTTGAGAGAGGGGTGAAAGAAGCCATCTATGTCAAACTGGAAAACCATTCCTCAACAGAGGTGGAGGTCTGAAGCATCACCTCTCACCTGTTTACAATTCAGTCCTAAGATCTCTCCCCGGGAAGATGAAACTACATTCACACCTAGTCACAGAAGACCTTAACGAACCCCATTGCGGCAGGGGGAGCACTAACGACTCACATAACTCCGGGGAGGATTAACAACCCCCAACTGAAACCGAAACTCAGGTGTTAATGACTCCTTAGGATATAAGTATCTGGAACTCCCAACTAGTCAGTCAGAACCAATGAAGCCTCTTGGATGAGAGGTGAAACGTCTTCAAGGAACTCAAGCAAGTCCAGTTGCTACGATTAAACTACGAGAATTCACATCTGATTTTCGATACTTCTCAGATACACAATACGTAACGTCAGCTGTACTGCTCAGTAGTTGGCTGAAATACGTTGATTTTACCAGAAAGGTCAAGAGAGCCAGTTGCTTGTATGATTACTATTGGATGAGTCTCTTCAAACTGTTAGAAAGACCAGCTGAGTGCAGAACACCTACAGCCGCAGACTGGAAATCCCCACCTCTCTGCCTCATTAGATCATTACACATTCCTTCTTTGTTGTCATTGCTGACGCAAGTGGGACTTGATGGGGTAACTAAAACCAGCTGCTCATAATGTAGTATTTGCTGTGGGTACCAGTAACCCAGTTTGTCCAGTTGTCCTTATTGAAAACACTGACCTACTTCATTTTGAGAACATTTGTTTTCAGGGTGACCCCAAACCACAAATCGAAAAAGGAAATTCCAGACAATCAAATGACAATGAAAACTAGGCCAAAGCAGATCTTGACTCATCCCACAGACGACACCTAACAAGGACAAAAACTCTTGGTGTGTTTATGGATGTGACATTATAAATTTCAACAGTCACACACTGTCCTTTTATCTGCAGTCACAGTGGTTGCATTGCATCTTGGCTGAACAGTGGGGCATTGACTCTGATATAAAATTAGCATCCAGATTTACTATATTAAAAATCTGTCATGGCTTTAATTACTGAGCTTCAAATTTTTTTTTTTTTTTCAAATTTTTTTTTTCCCCCTTTTTTTTTTGTGGCCGGCTTGGTTTTTTTTCGGTTTGCTTGAATTCGGTTTTTTCGGATTTTTTGGGGTTTTTTTTTTTTTTTTTTCAGCCTCTCTTTGCTGATGGGTTTGTGTTGCTAGAATATTCCTCCTCTGCCAAGCTTCTGCATACTGGGAATCATCTTGTTGGCCAGTATTTGGGTATATATCCACAGGCATTTATGCCACAATCTGTACATGCTGACTCCCTAATAGCTTTTGGACTCAAACAGGCCCACATCATATCACTCACATCCCCTGTGCATCACTACTGGAACTATGCATTCACTGTAGTAGTCCTGGCCAACAAACATGCTCCATCCCATCTGAACACATTTATCTTGGTCTTATCTGACCAAAGAATGTGCTTCGAATACACACCAGACTTTAATTTCTTTAGCAAAGTTTATTCTGGCAGGTTTGAGTCAAGAAGCATCAAGGATTTTATGTCTTGGACACTGTCCATAGAGACTGAGATTGGGCAGTGCCCTTCACTCAGCCTGAGCTGACACTGTCTGACGTCTATTGATAAACTCTGTGCAAAGTCTGGTAGATTGTACAAGATTATATGAGCTGAAAGACAGAATAGCAGGAATAAATTTAATTCTATCCTATTACAGAAACAAGAATAACCATGGTTGTACATTTTGATGCTGAAACTAGTTTTTAGAAGACGTTAGATGTTAAACATCTTCCAAGAAAATTAAGCAGGAGCAGCAAAAGTGTTGTTCAACAATTTCCCTGAGGTTTCAATCATAACAACTGTGGGTTGGGTGTTTGAAGAAAATGTCTTGAAAGGACTGAATAACAAATTAAAATATTCAGAAAGGCTGAGCATTGGAGTGTGTTATTTGCCGCACAGCACTGCTTTATGTTTCATCTAATCATCATGACAAATATGGGCTGAATGAGACCAATCTCATTCTCATGACTGAAGAAATTATCATTTGATTTGATTTTTATGGTCTTGTGATTGGATAATTTCTGTGGCATCTATCTAGTACACTGTAAAAGACAAGTGTGAAGAAGTGTTTAAACAAGCATGAACCAAAAAACATGCAAATTCAAAAAAAGTGCAAAAAAACAATACATTTACTAACATATAGACAGCCACATGGGTTCAAAACTTAGAAAGTTCTAGTGTTCACAGATCCTTTTCTAACCATGTTGATGCAGTTAGGGTAACTGGAAATTCCAGATGTACTCAAGTTTGTTTCAGGAGAAGAAATACTTCACCTGTCGACTTTGAAATTATGCGATTATTGAGAGATGATACATTTTTGGTCACGTAAAATTTAAGTAATATTGCACAGGGTTGTGCTCACTTCTGTTGTATGCTGTAAACTGTACATGTGTGCTCCAGTAGGTGCACATCTGTGTGTGTGTGTGTGTGTGTGTTTTACTCACAGCCACTCTAACTGATTCAAATCCCCGAACACACCAGGACTTAGGGAGGATATTAAGTTCTCACTGAGAAACCTGAGAGAAAGAGCGAGAGGCACAGAAAGAGGAGACATCAGAAACATGTCTACAATCCTTATGTTGTAAAATCACATACAAAACACAGGAAATAATTAAATGATTAATTGACTCGCTAATAGATGGACTTTTGGTTCTGCAAAACAACACTCTTGGATAAGGTGAATTTAAGGGATGTGTGTGGATGTTTTGTTTGTTTTCTTTTTGTTTTTTAAGTTTTGTGACATGTCTAGTTTTGGATTAGCATCTGTACATAGAAAAGGTTGCTTTTAGTTACTCTAACTGACAATACCTGGCTTCCTCTGATAATGAACAGGTACCTGTGTCCACAATCTCACATTTGCACAGTGGCGCTTTTGCAAGTTTGGATTCAAAACGTCACAGAATACTACATAACTGTCACAAATTGCTTTTTCCTGTATAAGAAATAACTGCTCAGCTGAAGATGTCCATTTCCAAATTCAAACACTCCTTAAATTCCATCCCTCACATTAAACAAGCTGAGCTGACAACTTCAACACATAAATCTTATCACTTAATTGCTTCCTGCTCAGACTTAAGAAGATAAGTTCATCAGTCAAGAAGAAAGGTGAAATCTGCTCAGTTGTTTGAGGGAACTTTAATGTCATTAATGAAGTTAGCGGGATACTTACAACCTCTTCAAATTGTGCAGGCCGACAAAGGCATGTTCGGATACGACCTGGAGGCTGTTGTTTTGCAAAAACCTGAGAACAGAAGGAGAAAAAAAAACTATTTTATCTAAAACTGTCCCACTTAAGCGACTGATCTCGTCATTCACACGCACCTACATGTGTTCTTAGCTTGAATAGAGTGTAAAAAAATGACTAATAATAGCCCGCTGTTAGAGTAGTATTATTATCTTGTACTAAATTTCTTCATTCAACACACAGAGCACAGGCACCTGCAGAGGACAAAAAGATGCTCAAAGGTAATTTATGACACTTTAAAACAAACCCGTAATTACTAACCTTTGATCCATGATTAAAGTTTAAGCATGTGCACTTTCCATGAACTTTCACAAACTATTATTATTACAGATTCTGAAGACATTTTGTTACTGAACTACAAAAAATGACACCCAGCAGTAAGCAATGTAATGCAGCAAAGAGTACACAGACATACATATAAAGGAGATTAAACGATCACTCCAAAAGTGCACACAACACAAGAAAGCCTTCAGGACAAGATTCAACAACCCAGCTGCATCTCAAGGATAAGCCTCCTATGATGAACTGGAACAACAGGAGGGGATTACAAGACCACTTATCAAACCCTGCAGTTTCAGCACCATCAGCACCTTCAGGTATGTTAGTGTCAAGTTGTTAATGGCGCATAAGCCATGTGGTTTTTGGGTGGCAAAGCCTCAAGCCTCTTGGATGCAAACATATTCAAGAACCGAAGAGGCGTCCAGGTCTCTAATACTGAGGGTTTTAGGATTACCATGATCTGAATGACTCCAGACGCCAGAAAGATCAGTAACCGTCCCTGTGCTTGTCTGATCACGCATTCATGCATTACCGATGACCAAGTTTGAATGTGGCTTTTAAATTTGTTTACAGAACTACCACCTCATATAATCAATAGAATATATGTCTGGTCAGTATGCAGAGAGATGAAGTTATACAAGAACAACATCTTCAAGACACAAAAAATATCTGATCGGAAGAAAGATTTACTGTGTCAAAATGAAACGATGCCTTGCACAGTCCATCACTGTCAGCATATCAGTTCTGCTCTTCCTCACATCCTGAGTTGTCAGACAGAATAACAGGAATATACTTTGTACTATCGTATTTCCAAAACAAGAACAACCATGGCAGTGCCTTTGAAATTTAGTAGGTTTGTTATGGTTTCATTGCTGAAACAGGTTTGTGGGAAACGTCAAGCATCCACTGAAATAATCAAAAAGGAGCAGCAACAGATTAATCTAATGGGAACAACTGTGTCTGTAATTTAGGAACATTACACTGTAATAATGCATATTGATGATCAAAGCATGGACTTTGGATTTTACTCCTGTGAGTTCAGAATTCAGCATTTGACTTAATTTTGTGGTCCTGTGACTGGATGGATTTCTTAGCATCTGCGCATATATTTTATGCTGTGATGCCTGATAATGCACACGACGAAGGCGCTGCGAACTGAAATACAGCAGCACATGAGACTGTGCAAGGAAGTTTATTCAGTGTAAGTACTATAATCAGAGTGATAGATAAACTACAAAAAAGTAGAATTCACATAAATGTGATTTTAAATTACTCCCTTTCTAATTATCCTGTTCACCATATACTGTTTTCAAAATAGTTCTAGTTTTAGATTATTTGGCTGTGTTTATGCATATGGGGAGGGATTTTGAAAATTTGACACTCAGTTCCTATATTGTGTACACAAAATCACACTCAGGGCCTTAAAGACAAAAATTCCTCAAAACTGCTTTTTTAGATCTCCCTTGCCATCACATTATTTAATCACGCATTCTATGTAATAGGGCTTTCATTCTGAAGCTTTGACTTCAAAACCATTTAACTATTTTCTAACATTTTTTCACAAGTAGCAAATAAAGACTTTTTTTTTTTGTTCACTTCTCTATTCTGTTGTATCATAGAACTCTGCAGACCTTTGTAATGTCTTTCACTATTTTCTTTTGGCAACATCATTCATTCAGCTTTTCTTAATGCTTTTCTGACCATGAGAACATTTTGTCCTTTCAAGATTTGCTTTATTGACCATTTTTGCTATGTTCATTCATGCACCATAACATTTGGCAAAGGTGTCTATTTTGGGGGCAAGTTTTGAAATTTAAAATTTTGTTAATAAGCTTTCATTCTGAAGCTTTGGCTACATTTCATTCATTTTTGCTATTTCTCACCAGATTATGTCATTTTTTAATATTTGGCCTATGGAGCAAATACAAGCTTCTTTCACTTTCTGCTGTGTTATAAAGCACTGCAGGTCAGTGGAATCTCTTCCAGTATCTTCTTAATAGTTCTGCTTTTTGTGCCATCATTTGTTCATGTTTTCATAACCCTTCATTTATGTTTCTTATCTATTAAATTTTAGATTCTGAGAAACTACCCTTTGTTATGCACACTCAGGGTAGAAACACACAAATAATGACTGAATCACACCAAAGTGCATGTTGAGAGAATGAGTACAGCTGCATAAAAATACTCACAGTCTCTCCAGGGCGGGGTATTCTTGGAAAACAAAATCAGACAACACTCGGATCTTGTTGCTTCTCAGCGACCTGCAACACAATCAGTGAAATGACACGCTTAGAAAAATACAACACGCTTAAAGAAATGGTCTGAGTGGAGCTGCACAGAGAGATGGGGGATGAAAGCTCTAAAGCATTATGTGCAATATGCAATAACACAGAAACGGCATATTCACTCATATTTGGCTTTTTGAGAATCATTTGTTAGAGTGGGCAAAGTGCTTGAGAACCTAAACAGATCCACTGTCCTGGAATCTGGAAAATATTTCTACAAAGACAGGAGCATACCAAAGGGATTCATAAAGTTCTATCTAATCTAATCTAATCTAATCTAATCCTGTCGATGCAAAAACTTACATGCACTTACCCTCAGATACACACATGCACTGCTAACACCAAACTTTTCTAAACAACAATTTGGTAAACAGGCCCAAAAATGTACATTCAAATTCAAACAAATCATGTTTGCTTGAATCTTTAATAAGACTGCATTTATTTATGTGTTTTACACCACAGCAGGTTGCACCATTAGCAGCACAAAGAAGAAGTATGAGCTGTTACTCCTTTATTCAACTCTAATATATAATCACAAGAACGAATGCAATATGCACCCACTCACACAGACACACTGTAATGGATCTGAATAAAATGTAAAGCATCTTTCATCACGCCCAGTCGAGAAAAAGAGGGCAACAAATCTCGATGGAGTCATTTTTTACTACCAAAATATGAAAATGAAGTAAGATCTCATACAGTCAGTACATTTTTTATGCAGTTATTGTGCACACAGGTGGGTTGATAGCTGTGGATTAGTCAGAAGGGAAAAGTAGGCAGAGGTTTGACATCAGGACATTAATCCTCAAAAAGTTCCAAAACCAAGAAAGTTGTGGGAGAGTAGTTCATGTTTTTTTAGGTGTACTATTAGATGTGTTGCTTCTACTTTCCAGAATCATTTAAAGGTTTTTAACAAGGTCTCATTTTCTAATGACGATAATCAATATTTCAGTTAATTACTTTTTAAATATGTTTTAATCTTGTTTCCCAAAAAATATTCCAAAATACAGATATGTGTGACCATGTTTTGAATCTGCACATCTTTTTTTTTTGATGAGCAGAAGCCTTAAAGTGTCAGTATGTGTGCTAATTAACCAGGGATAATATTAAATAAGAAAATCTGATTAAATATTTCAAAGCAATACAGAATGTCTGAGAGCCTTAGGACACTGAGTTCTGTTACATATATTTCCATCCTTTTAATTAATGTAGAAAAGGTTCAAATTGGTGTAATATCATTCACCAGAATGCAGAAAATGAAGGGTCTGAGGGAAGACAATTGAGTAAATATCCATGTAAGCACTGTGTTCACATACATGTAGCAATATGTATTATCCGTATATCGGAAATGCAAAAAGGGCCTCGTTATTTAACAAGGGAAATCTCACAGAAGGGTTGGTAACTGGTACATTTGTTTGTATCCTCCATCCACCTGGAAAGAACTACACATGGTCATAAAATAGGCAGAGCTATTTTTATGTACAAATAATTTGCAAAACAAATTAACTGATAAATAGAGAGAGTCAGATGCAAATGTTTGTTCGCAACGCCAGATGAAGTGGAGATTGGTAACTGTATTTATGATGATGCATGGTGTTGACACCTCAGTTGACTGCAATACCAACTTGGTTTAATGTAGTCTTTGTATTGTTTGCAGTAAAGCTTCATGTGAACCCACTGACTGCTCATTTTCTACTCAAATGTGTTAGTACAGTTTAGTGGATAGTAGTAGTAAGAACATTTTCAAAGACAACGCTCAGAATTTCCTGTACACTCGAAGAGGCAATACCTTTGCTTACTTGAATCATGATTAGTGTACTTTGCTTATTTCTCATTGTCCTGTTCATTTAACTCATGGACTGTGAGTATGAACTCATTTTTCCTTAAAGAGTTATAAAAGTAAGTATAGTTGAGTAAACTGGACTTGAAACATTCTGTTCCTGGACTGAACACAGAGCTCAGCAGTGCACATGTGCAGTAAAGAAGTGCAGGAGAAGTTTCCAAAAGTTGTACGGGACGGCTGTGGCTCAGGTCGAGCAGGTCGTTCCATGATGAAAAGGTTGGCAGTTCGATTCTGCCTTGTAACCTGTGTTATGGTTGTTGTGTCCTTGGGCAAGACACTTCACCCACCTTGGTATGAATGCATATGAATGGATTGGTTGAGGTGGTGGTAGGAGGGGCAGAATGGCAGCCAGGCCTCTGTCAGTCTGCCCCAGGGCAACTGTGGCTGCAATTGTAGCTACCACCACTGGGATGAATGTGTGTGAATGAATAATTGACAATGTAAAGTGTCTTTGAGTGTCTAAAAAAGCGCTATGTAAATCTGATCAATTATTATTATTTAAGTTTCTAACCTTTGGAAAGATCAAGTTTATTATATTTGCTATTTTTAGGTTCACAATATTAAGTAAATACAGCTAAATTTTAAGTAAACTTTACAAGTAGATATGAAGTAAGACTAATGGTTATATTTACTTACCTTTTTTGAGTGCAACCGGTAGATTTGTTTAAGTAAGATCGACTTTTCACATTTTACAGTGTAGAAGGACCCGTAGAGCCTCCATCTACATCCACGCAAGCCTCTATTAAGCAACTATCCCACAGATACATTTATTTTCAGTTGTATTCATTCCACACTTCAATGAATGAAGCACTGCAAAAGCCTTCACACAACATAAACCTAAACAATGAAAAGGAGACAAGTTGATCATGAAAACCAGAGGAAAAGCAGATTACTCTCTAATAAACAAAACAAAGTGAAAAAATCATTTCACCATAACAGACTTTTTTTCACAGCAGCCATGTTGACACAAACTAGAAGGTAAACACAGCTGTTAATCACAAAAATGAAGGCTGCAACACAGACTTAATTATTGTGATTAGCAAGACGTGTGTTTACCCACCGTTTCCTGTCTATAAGGCTGCTGAGAATAAGCTCTATTGGGAAATCATTGGGGTTTTTTTTTGTTTGTTTGTTAGAGAAATTTACAAAATTTTGTGTGGCTGGAAGTTAGATCTTTCCTCTCTTGATTGCATTTATTCAGAAAACTAAGGTGAAGCTGTAACGTTTGTTGGATTTCCAGAATCCACCCTGTAAAATGTACGTCTGAGCTATAGTTAAATTGAAGTGCTGTTTCCAATCACTGTCATTTATTGTTCTACTTTGGTGAAGGCAGATCACTTTTTTTTAGATTCTAACGCTTTGAAATCACACTTTGTCCCTTTAAGTTGCTATGCCAATTTCAGTACAAAAAAGGTTTCGCAACATGGAGGTCATGACAATTTATCCGCTACAGCTCGACTACTATTTTCTTCCAGTAGCCCTGAAAACACAATAATGTTTTACATCTTACGTTTGGGTAAAGCAAAAGAGGAATCTTCTAGTTGACTTTCCTTAGAACGCAATTGCAGCTATTCTCATTTAGGAGAAACCAAAAGATTCAGGTACATCCAACTTTAAAAACCAGACGCATTAATATTACTTGTTAACTTAGTTCTGATTAACTTAATGTAATTGTTAGGCATGGAAGCAATTCCTTTAACTTGGTCAAACAAATTTCTTTGTTAGATAGGAATTTATAAGGAGGATAACGTCCCAGACAGACAGACGATATTTCTCTGTGGATTCTCAGTCATCCAGGTCATTATAATCCAAGGAGCTTCAGTAAAGAACAACTTCTACAGATCTTCTTCATGAACAGAAGAGAGAAGTTTAGTTACTTCTAAGATTATAATGACTTGGATGACTGAGAATTTACAGACATACTGCCATGCACTTTAGGATAAACAATACAAAAAATGGTACAGAGTATGAGAAAATGCAAAAACAAAACAAAACAAAAAAAAAAACTTGCAGAAATCAGGAACAACCTCCACTTTCACTTGAAATGTGGACAACACAGACTCTTCCCTGACATCTTTTCCCTGGGCTCCACTGCCAAAGGTCACAGATCACAACTGAAAGCACAGAACCAGTGACTAAATTCAAGAACCTGAAAGAGAAATCTAGTTGCCCTTTACTGAAGCATATACTGTACATCAGACTGGCAAAAACACGGACCAATACTCAAAGCCTTACATTTTATAACAACAAAGAGGAAGGAATGTTCATAAGCCAGCATCAAACAGCTGTCTTTGTGTTTTGTGGTTACTGACAGGATTTTAGGGAAAGTAAATGATCTAAACTTCTTAATTATTTAAGGAAAAGTGTCAGCGTTACTCGGGAAGCTAAGACAAGTCTGATTAGGTTTAGTACTGCAGCAAGAGTCAAACTTTTGTCACACTGAGTGCTCAGTGAGCGGGGAATCACACCTCCTGGGCTTTTAATCTAAAATTCTTCCTCCCGCAGCTCAAGCTGAGATAACCCTGATGCCATTTCTCTCCACAGCCTCAAGACTAAACGGATACTGATGTGTAAAAGCTGTGGGAATAGCTCTCTGTGACTGTGAAGAAGAAAAAGCAGAAGTAAAAAAAAATGGAGGAGATTGTCAGTGGCAATTATAGATAAACACAGCACAAAAGGGGAAACCATTCCTTCACAAAGACAGTTCAACTAAAATAAACTGCGCAACTAAGAAAGAAGCAGAATAACAGAAACAAGGCTGAGTGAGACTAAATATCCAGCAAATGCAGGTTAAGACGCTGATAAATCAAAGACCAGGATGGGTGGAGTGAGTCTACATCAAACACAGGATCCACTGTGCGGTTGCAATCACAGCGAAACTCCAGTTACCTCGGAAATGGGAAAACTGGTTCTCATGAGATATCCAGCTACATGTCCATCTAAACCAGGTCAGACAGTGTCTTGAAAAGTAATCAGTGCAATCATGAAATTTACTCTATGGCTAAACAGCAGTCACAGGAGAGAAGATAAAACAGAAGTGGGGGGACATCGTTAGCAGCATCCACTGATTTCTGGCTGACGCAAGAACAAAGAAAGTTGAAGGAGACAGGAACATGAAAGCACATTCGGATGTTCATGCGTCACCGAACTGATGACGAAACATAAACCAGAGGGACTGTTCGAATAGAATCAATAAAGTTTCCAGCTGGTTTATGGCCTTTCAGGGCTGCTTCTGAAGAATAATGTGCATGAAAAATAAATGCTTCATATTATGATATGACAACAAATCACTCTGTGAGGTCTTCATTGTTTCAGTCACTTTGTTGTAGTAAGTTCTAGTCTGGAGGTGTTTCATGGACTGTGAGTGTACAGGATGATACGCGCAGAGATGATAGGAGGCTGTTAAACAGAAGTGAAATCAAAAAATTTGGAGGATGTGAAATAAATCTGCAGGTTATAAACAACTACTCCACCACAGCAGGGGAGCATCAATAAATGATTTTCAGCTCGTTGTGGGAAATTAATGGGCCTACAATGAACTAAATCATTCAAAATAAACAGCTAATTTTAGAGATCTGACATTTAGAAGCTCAGTCGCCAAATTATGTATTTTTAAGCAGCAAATCAAATCAGATTTCTTGAAAATAATTGGATGATTCAATTAAGCAGTTAGGCTGCAAACTAAAGGGCCTTTCAGATACAGAGAAGCAGAGATGTTGGGACATGAAATATATCTGTCTTTCACTATTAAACTCTATGAGGCATACATGTCTTGTGCTGTTATATTTCCCCGTCAATTATTTTCTTCAAAAATAATAAACACAGTAAGTTTCAGCTATGTAGTTAATAGATAATGAATGGATCGCACAACAAGAAACAGATTACTGCTGGGACACTGAAACCAGGTCGTACATAGGTGGTCGCTAAATAGGTGAACAAAAAGATTCATGAGCATTTTAGTTGACGAAATCACAAGCATGACAAGTTTAGAGAAAAAGTTTTGGAAAATACATTTAGTCATTTTTTAGTTGAGAGAAATGCAGAGAAATTTCAATTTGGTATATTTAACTTATGGAAAAGTTAATTAGAGCTAAGTGTGCAAATGAGCAAACATATGTTAAATTTTACTTTGGAAAATTGAATATGTGATTTTGAATGTAACTAAACTGGTCAGTTATAAAGTTATGAGTTTCAGGAACAGCATACTGGTTCACTGTGACTTTTATTTTTCATATAAACAGTTTAATTTAATTCAACAAACACTATAATATACAATGATGTTAATGTAATTATTTGTGTGTATTACATGATAAATATATTTTTAATTGAACAAATATATTTGAATCATCTTATATGAACACGAGAAGGAGAGGAAGAGCTAATGACGCTCATCAGGAAACAAATGGATAACAGACTTCAAAAAGCTTCAGCTATTCCTCTGAAGAATAAGTGAGAGACAAATAATTAAACTCTCCTTCTCTGACTAAGTCACCAAAATGTCAAACTCTGAATCAGATCAGTTTTCAGATGAAAACAACAGGATATTTTTAGCCATCTTGACCGGCCTGCTGATTTCAGTCTTTGGAGACTCTCATGTTGTTGTGAAGTGCTCATGAGACAGTAACAAGTGTGACCTCTGACCTTTGCTTGAAGGTGTTTTTCCCCACACAGGAATCAAGGCAGCACCAGTGCTGGTAACACTTTCTTCCTTAATCATTTACATTCACTCCTTTTTATAAGGCAGTACGGCCTGCTGCCAGTGTCATCTCTTTGCGTCTGTGTCTGTATTTGGAAAAGGACTTATATGTGGCCATATGTGAGGTCTGACGTTGCTCATCTTCAGAAACAGAAATAAGATCCTCAAAACAGAACTGTCCATTAAAGCTGAAGTCACATCCTGACTGAAAAATCCCTATAAAAGACACACATGTTTACTACAACCTAGCTTCACGCTAACTCTAAACCAAGGTTTCACACTAAAATGTAAGTTTTAAGTTATGAAGGACTGGCTTTAGTCTTCCAAATCGAGTCGAAATCCCCATCATGTGTTAACAGATTTATGTCCCAACAGCATGAATAGTACAGGTGAACATTTATAGACACAATGCTTTTAGACAGAAGACACTTACAGCCAGGTGACATTTGGAGAAAGCAGAGGAACATCCTGAAGGTCGACCTCCACACACTCAACATCTGTCTGTATGCAGTCACAGCTCTCCGGATACTCCTGCAAGTCTACACACATACACACACATTTTAGTTTTGCACTAATCTTTCCAGTAGTGACACATTAAATTTTAATGTTTTAAGTTTTCATTACAGATTACGTGTTCAATACAATTCGTTAACCAGCATTTGTCAGATCCCAACACAATTCTGTTCATTAAGACTCTCACACAAGCTGAAACCAACAAATGTTTGGCTTTTATTTATTTTTTATTTTTTGCTTATTAAATGCCAATCAGTCAAAATTTAGGATGCACTGAACCTGTCTGCCTAAGTACGGATCTAGTGTATTTCCTGGCTCAGAACGGGGCTTCAGAGGGCAACAACACCTGACAGGCGTCGCACAGTGAGGGCATTAAGTTTGTGTTACTTTATTTAACAGAAATCAATGCAATTTCCTGATCATTCTGACCATTTGAGAAACACATTTTTTATTGTGCCTGAGTAAAACTGAATAATACAAAACATTAGACAATAACAATAAAAAATGATAATGAAAGCAGCCACAAAGCATAAAAACAGACCTCAGCATAACCAGTCGAGCTACATTTATCAATTTGAAAGAGTATCCGGAGAGATACAGTTAGAAGAACCCTAGCGTAATGTGGAGCAAGGTCACTTAATGCTTTAAAAGTGATAAAGAGAATTTTAAATGGCAGGTGCTTCAGTAATGTGGTCACATTTCCTAATTCCAGTTAAGATCTGAGCAGCAGCGTTCTAAACAGTGTACGGTTGGAGAAGAGAGCTCTGACTGATGCAGGTATAAAGTGCTTGGCTGTAATTGAAGTGGGAAAAAAATAAATGCTTCTTATTCAAATCAGTTTCAGACATTAATGGTCTCATTTTGGTGCTTTGTTTTAGTTGAATAACAGTCTATACTGGAAGAAACAGAAACAGATCAGCATCAAAAAATTCATCTTGCAGTGGCTTAATGTTTCTGGTCAGCGGCCAATGTTTTATTTATCGTCAATAAATTGTAAAAAGTTTTGGGACAGTCTCTTAGGTGAACAGACTGTCCAGGCTCATGGGGTTGTCGGTTTGAAGGGAGATATATAATTTCGAGTCACCTGCGTAACTTTGGTGCAAGTTACTATGATTCTGTATGATTTAGCTGAGAGGAACCATGTATATTAAAAACGTAGTGGGCCAAGAATAGAACTTTGAGGAACACCACAATTGAATAAAACCTCACTTAACAAACCTGGTTTAAAAACAAAAATGAATAGCTTAATTTATTAAGAATTATTCTTTCGACAGAGGGATTTTCCATTAGTGTTGGCTAAAACTTCCTTGTAAAATTCCTTTACATACATTGCAATAGGTTTGTTAGTGATCCACATTAAATGAAGGTCCATCCTCAGTGTCAATGTAAAATTTCAGATTACGACAAATTCTGTGCAGTCTGATATACACCTCTTGGTGTTCCGGTATCAATGCTGGCAAATACAGAATCTGTAGGAAATGTATGATTTGTGAATCCTCAATTAAAATTGCTTTTTCAATCAAAATCTTCGAAAGTCCACAGTGTGGAAATCTGTCTTTGCCAACAGACAATAATCACAATAATCATTACAAATACTAAAGACCCTGACACCTTCCTGCAGTAACACTTACACAACATGATGTAACAATTCTCATCCGATAAATGTTTGAATGCACACACACCAATGCTAAAAGTATTCACACACATTGAAGCATATAAGCACCAATAATGTAAAGACACACACTTACAACACTCTTCTAGGAAATACAGGTTCACAGGACTGGCATTCTGTAGTGTTCGACCAAATAGGTCCGCCCATCCGATGTTGTCACCTGAAAAGTCAACAAGAAACAATAATTATCTGGAATCACTCTGCAGACGGATAAAATCTGGCAAAGTCCTTCCTTTGATCTTACTTGATACTACTGCAGTGTTTTATACCAACTTGCAGAAATGTGGCAAGCACAGTGCAGGAAAAGATCACCTTAATAAACTATAATCACCAGCACATAGACAGTATGTTTTGTCAGATAACGTCAACACTGGGAGCTAAATCATTACAACTTGGATGGCTTTGGAGTGGGACCCTCAAAACTCTACTTTTACAAAAGGTTTTAAAGTCCTTCCCTGAATGTTGATTTAACCCCTAAGAACTCATCTCTGTTTGCTTTATCTACTAGAAAATAGCCCCTTCCTGCTTTTGTTCATTGCTTGATCTAAAATGCACGGATCTACATGGTCCCTGCTTTTTTGTCCAATCACTCCTTCCCACTCACAGCAGCCTGAGCACACCAGCTTACTTATGACTCTGCTCAAACCCTGCAAAAGTACTTTGCTCTACAGAATGGGAAGTTGTATTATTGTAACAATTCAGATATAAAGATTTTGGAGAAGAATAATGACATAAAAAGTCCCACACTGTAATTTGACAGAATTGGTTCCTTTGGTTTGCTATGATGTAAAACCACGTAAGTCTGTGGTTTTAACACTGTCTTTTTATTTCAGGCAATTTTAAGGCTTAAATGCTTACCAAGAGATTATTTTTCTCATTGTATTTTTTTTAAACATATAAAAAACATACTAGAGATAGGTCTTTATTATAGTTATTTTCAAAACAGATTACTTTATGAACATTTTGACTTTCACTGTGTCAACAACTCAAGCACTGCAGAGACACAGTGAAGCATCATAATCTGACCTGACAACATAAACTGTCTGCAAATCTTCATCAGCGCAATTATTTCAAACAAGCTGTGATAGCTAATCACTCTACAGTTCGGTCGGACCATGCAGCGACTGGCCCTCCCACCTCCTGCTTTATCACTCCATCATTCAGCTTCTATGCCTGTAACCTAGCAACCTGTTATTGTCAATGAACTCGACTCCGCATTCATGTTTTCCACTGAGATAAGGGCTTATATTAACTGTCTGAATGAAAGTCACATTAGCCATTGATGCCGTTTAATGAGAGGCTGATTTTGCGTCAGCGGCATGAAGCAGAGCCGCTTGGAGCTGGCGAACATACCAACCTCAGCTACCATTCAAAACATCCCTGATGCTTCACTGGAGGCTGTAAATGAACGCAGATCAGAAACAGCTTTGAAGAGTCACTAGAAGATGGAAAGAAGTGACACAAGGATGCTTTCTGCTCTTATGGAGATTAGGTATTTTTCTGAACAATTTCATTCTGCAATATCAAGGAAATGAAATCAAAAGCTTTTGATGCCGTACTTGTCTTGAGTTATAGCTACAGAAATCCAGCAACCAAAAGAAAAATTTCAATTTTCACACTGCCATTTATGAGTACGCACTGAGAACTATGTAAAGGTGTGCAATCATTCCTATTGTAATAATACTAAACATATTAAATTATATTTTGATGACTCATTAGGCACTGCAGTGGGTCTTACACTGCCTTAGTTTTATTCCCACCGTCACACAAGCTAAGAGAAGAAACTCTGTTACTCAAATCGAGTCTTGTATTTTATTAGGCTATTCTACACACTTCTACAGTGCCTCAACTTGCAGTTAGTCTGAACGCCACACTCCACTCAGTAGTCCTGGCAGCTTGATCGCCACTTTATGACAGCTAATCAACACCTTGACAAAAACAGCGCACCAAAACATGCCAGTCAAATGGAAGAGATGCTTCCATTTAGTCAGCTAGTGGTGCCAATTTGTTTTCCACATTTGCTTCAGCTGTTTCATGGCCTGCGACAACTCGATTGATTAGAATAAATGCATGTCTGTTCCAACTAATGTTGGATGGCGTAGCTGAAATGCCGTCTGACACATGGTGATGCTTTCTTTGCGCCTGTTGCGCCTGAACACTACAAAGCCTGCTGTCATTGTAAATAATCAAATGTTGTCTATCTTTTGCCCAGTAAATGTCTGCTGAAGGTTAAGCGGTGTATAGATAATGGATGGATGGATTAAATGAAATACAAAGACAGTGCTAAGAGTTTGAATTAACATAAATGTCATTCTTAATTCTTAACCTTCATGTTTAAGGTAAATAGAAGTCAGGTTTGTATAATTATGCTCCTTGACTGCTCTGTCACGACATTGAACGAAGTGCCCACTTGAACCAGAAGGATGTGAGCTCTCTGGGGAGGCTGCCTGAGGTTACTCACTGAAATCTTGCTTTGATGTTATCAGTGAAGAACTCACTAATTCCTTTGTGGCCGGAGGGAGGCACAGCATCTCTTAAATCTCACCATCAATGAAAGGTTTGCTTTTGTCTGCACTTGATAGATTAAGCCGGTATGTGCAGAACGTATATGGATACTTTTTCAAAGCATTCCGATGGCATTGTTTTTTTCTAGAAGGAAAACTGTGTGTGTGACTGTGGAAAAAGCAGCAGCTACACATCCATGCAGAAGTTTCTCATCAGGTCATGATTGTGCACATTCACACTTTGTTAGTCCGGTTTATTTTAAAGTTACAACCCGTGGAGTCTCATTCATTGCCAGGAAATTATCCATCCATCCATTATCTATACATTGCTTAATCCTTGGCAGGAAATTATAAAAGTCATAATATTCCTGAGCCACTTGGAGGAAAAACAACACATTTGATGTAGCAACAAGAGAGTTGCTATGTCATATTTCTATTTTTAGTCAAGTTCTCCCTTTCACTGCTTTGGATGCACACAATCAAACTTTCCCATCCTGCAAATAGTGAACAAGCTAAATGAAGCTACAATGACAGCCTCATTGTGCAAGTATTGCTGTCTTTTGTTTTCTTTTCTTTTTTGCCTGAAATTTATTTTTGCTGCACTAATGTGTGCTTTGGGTAACCTGTGAAATCTGCTTATGAGCACTACAGGGACGGAAAATGGAATCTGAAAAACAGACATCTAGACACACACTTACCACAGCGGCGCTCATCAGCTCCGTTGGAACAGTCTTTGTGTCCGTTACACTGCAGAGCCTGAGGGAGGCACTCACTCATGTTCCCACACGGGAAGTGGCCGAGGGGGCATCGAGCCTCTACTTCCACCCTGCCGGTCACCAGCACTGAGGGAGAGGCAGAGGAAAATGGAGGGAGATGTAAATCCATCGGGTCAATAGTTAGATTTTCAGTCTTTAAAAAAAAAAAAAAAGAATTTACTTGTGAGTGGTATATAAATGGAAAAGAAGACTTCTACATTTTGAATTTCAAGTATATAAAGATGGACCTGGACTGGAGCCGTGCAACAATGACTCACATGATCCCACGTTGACAAAAAGCTTGGTGAGAACTTTGTTAAACATGAAACCAAGAAAAAGCACCAATTTCAACATACATATTTCTCTAGATGATCAAAAACAACATTTGCACTCCAACTCAAACATAATTTCACTTTTAGTTAATCTATTGATTACCATTCCAGTGACTGGCAAAGAGAAGTGTAGGCATCCTTGTGAGGCATGTGGAGGACAAACATCATGCTGGCAAAAAATAAATAAAGAGGGGGGGCTGGAGTCTATCCCAGCTGACGAGGGTTAGGGTCGCCAGTCTCTCACAGGGCCACACTTTGAGACAGACAACCAAGCACACTCACATTCACACTTATGGACAATTTAGAATCACCAATTAACCTCAACATGTTTTTGGACCTTGTGGGAGGAAGCCGGAGAACCCGGAGAGAACCCACGCTGCACGGGGAGAACATGCAAACTCCACGCAGAGAGATCCCAGTGCCCCCACCGGGATGCGAACCGGCAACCTTCTTGCTGTGAGGCAACAGCGCTACCAACTGTGCCACGTTGCAGGCCCAGAAGCAAAACTAGCAACAGGGGAAAAAAAAAAAAAACTTAGTAGAAAACTTTTGCAAATTGCACCCAACAGTCAGCAGTGCTGCATTGTGCTGCTGCCTTCTGAACAAACCATTCCCTCGCTTCTCTCCCAGTACACTCATATATATGGGGAAGGGGGCTTGCCTTTCCAGTTCAAACTGGCCACATCTATAATCCAATGGTATCTGAGATCACACCTACTCAGTGAACCCATCAATGAGCAGCTCTAAAGGCCTGCTGCCTCTTTAAGGTTCAGAACAAGATGGTCTCTGCAACAAAGAAACTGACAGGTGATGACTTCCTTAAACTTCATGTCTTTTTAACAGGCTGCTCGCTTTAATCAGACAAGTAAAAGAAGTACAATTCTCTCTGTAGCCAGTGGAGTTGTAAAGCTAACACAGAACAACTAAATGGTATGTGGTTCATGTCCATCTCTACACAAAACCTCTACATATTTTTTGTGTTTTTTTTATTGTCACTGCCCTGAACTTAATGTGACCCACAACATCCGGTGTTGTCTCAGTTTGGTGTCCTCTCATTACCCCAGTCACAGCAGCAGCCATGATGTCTTTATCCGTGGATTTTTCCATCTCTCTTCTGTTCTCCTTGCCTCTCTCCCCTCTCTGTTGTGGATGTGTCAGCCCCTCTAGCTCCTCACCTGATCCTGGTCCACTGTTCACCCTCCTCAGTACAAAGACACCCGTTTTCCAGCCACCCTTCACCCCCAGATTGTCATCTATCCATGCTTGGTTGGGAGATTGGTTGATTCTCTCTGGTATCTTTTGTTTGAGTTTTGTTCTTTTGCTAATTGCTCCCTCGGTGTGCAGGACCACTTACGCCTCTCGATGCTGCTCTTCAGGGGAAAACAATTACAACATCCAAGACTGCCTCCGCTGCTCAAGACCACTTCACCTCCAGCTCTCAGACTAGACTCTTCATTCCTCCACCGGGCAGCCTCCTTCACTCATTCCACATTTCCCCGCCGCCTAAGTTTCTTCTTTGTGAGTTCAACAAAACACCATGACGCCACTATTGCTTTAACATCTGAGTCACCACTTTAATCTGTACCTCAAATTCTGATGCACACTAAAGCGAATGAAGACAACATTCATTAATGTTGATTTTATTTTATTTTTTTATGGTTTCACACAAACCTTTTAGATCCCAAATGTATCGCTAGTACTTGTGCTTAAAACATGAATCAGCTTCAAGACTCGTTACTTGGTATGATTTGTTTTTGCTATTGCCACATCTTTTCAAAACAAGCTGGACAAGAAGGTTTTACGCACATATGCAACAGGCCCATGCAGCATTGCTTCCTTATATTGCTTTTTCTCCTAACACCTCATTAAAGTAGAACCTAAAAGCTTGTTTTCATATGCAGTTGTTCATGTTTTACAAGTAACCATAAAAAATATTGTGTTCTTAAAGCTTAGGCTTCCTTTTGTGGTGATCCAAGTTTTTGTGCTTTGAGACTTTGTTTAGTGTATGTGCTTGTTGTTTCTGGTGGCTGCAAGTGTGTTTCAGGCTGGGCAGGGTTTTCGGACGGGACAGGGCTCACTCACTCCTTTCCACACCTGAGGCGCATCACTAATCAGTGTTGGATACAGCCTGCCTCCACCTGTGCTCCAGCGTCAGTGGATTATCCTTCTTTGAGTGGTAACAGGCCAGCAGTGTGTGCAAAGAAACTTTGTGCAACTCGCTTTGTCCTACGTCTGTTTTTGTCTGCATTTGTTGCCAGAACCTCCCCAGGCCAGCTTCGGTAGCCGAACCCCAGCCTCAGCCATCCTGTCTCCCGGTCCCTCTTGGAAACCTCCCCGGGAATTCCCTCCCTCACTCGGCTTCCCTCACGAGCTTCCCTGCTTCCCCGCAGCCTTTGAATAAATCCCTCTGTTCTTCACTCCTTACCCTGTGTTGCATTTTTGGATCCCTACTAGACTGAACCATAACACCTTTTATCCAAAGACACCACACATTTTCTGTAAAAATATGTTATCAGCTTGAAGTGGACAAATACGTACATGTCTCAGAGTTTCAGCATGTCAAATAGACTGCTAGAATCTAATTTATTCTTATTTGGCACCATAGTTGCATGAAATTAGATGACGTTGAATGCAGGACCATTTATTGATGTCCTTCATATAGAGACAGTTATTCATACTATGACCTGGATACATCTCTTGAATTTAATATTTTCTGTGTAATTTGACATGAAGTAGAAAAAATAAATAGAATTGAAGCATGTAATTTCTTTCAGTGCTTTATCTTGAGTGTCTCACTTGTCATTGTTGAATTATGAATGCAAACACATCAAAATCTCTGCAGAAGGACTAACACGTTTTGATTTTTATAAATGCTCTCTAAGTGCCATTTCAAGACTTATATAGATATAAAACATGTTCATTGCTTGCATAATTGATGTCCAGTATAAACTTTACCACTTATGTTTAATGAGCCTGTTTTTGTAGAAACTTTTTCTTATGTGAGACGAGACCATCTTCATGGAAGATTTTTTTCTTCTCTTTGTGATGCTAAGAGAAAATCATCCCAAAAAGACACAGTCAGAATCCTGCAGATGCGCTTAACACCCGAAATAATCGGCAAAGCAGGGATTCAATAAGCTGCTGATTTAGTGTAAAATACTTTCATCTAATTACCAACTAAACTGATAGGCTGCATGTTTACACAACAATTAGGGAGACTGTTCAAGCGTGGCCAAGCCTGCCGCTGTTGCTGCTGCTGAAAGTCGGGAATAAAGCTGCCGACATAAACAATCGCCACGGAGACGCGTAAGAGAACTGAGAGTGCTATTGTTTCTCAATGTAATTACAAAACTAAGCATCATTCTCCAGCAGTGTTGTTATTATGGTGAAGAAAACATACAATGGTTGACTGTATAAAGCACACAACTGTCACGAGAAAAAAACACTTCCTTACAACTATACTTAAACCCACAATAGCTCATTTATTTTGCCTCTCTTTGTATGTGCAATATGAAATCATTCTCCACATTTTAGGGCAGCACTGTAGGAATGCTTTTAGGGCTGTTTTCAGGAGGCAAAAAGCCAAAATGACCATGTTATAGGCGTAAAGGCTGACACAACAAACAGCAATGGTACATTTGTGTTTCTTCCACTGTTGTTGTTTTTTTTTTAGCTCAGAGCTGATGTTGCAGTCGAAGATGCCTCAAAATTATGATGTTAAGTCGTGACCCTGGTGTAACCTACACTACAGCAGAAGCAGAAAGGCTAAAAAGGCCAAATAGGAGGCCGTTCCAGTAAAACATTCACCTGGCCTGAGTTCCTGTCGTGGAAACCTGCTTATTCACTCATTTTTACTTCTGTTTTCGGTCTCTACCAACACCTGAGGGAAATGTCTATCATCTGTTTAGCTTTCAAATGTCCTGATGTGTTTACCAGGGCAGCTAGTCACTAAATTTCTATGTCTGATGTCTTGAAGTTAAGCATGCAGTGTCATAAATCGACATATTGTATCATAGAATGTCAAACATCGGAAAATTACAGTCTGAAGGAAACCAATGCTGAACATACTGTAGCAGATGCCGTTCAACTGGGCTCTTACTTTAGCGGGGTCTATGTTGCAGAATGGCACCCCAATTTTCCCCCCTTTACTTTCCCACCACAAATATCAATTGAAATTTCCACTACATATGGGTACAACAAAACTTTTCTACACTGCATTAAAAATGGAACACAGCAGAAACAGCCTGGACAACAACAAACATCCACCATCTGGTACGACGTTCATCAAACTTACACAGGAAGGGTAGGATCTTCAGGAGAGTCATCCTGCACCACATAAATAAAACGTAGACAAAAGGGATTTATGCAGTGTACAGAAAGCAGACAGAAGACGTGTGCTGTCTCCTCCCTGTTCACTAAACTGAAATGTTTGTTAAAGGACTTTTTCACCTGGAATGTGTCTTCAGATAGTCAGCGGAAATGGAATTAGAAAGCAGAAATGACAATTTTTTTTTTTTTTTGTTCTTGCTATAGCTCGGCACACAAGAAGGAACTTTGCTTTCCATGAGAATATTCGCTGGACATTGTTTTCTGCTAACGTTAAAGATTCGGAGAAAGCCACATTTATCAGAATTGTAGGTAATTGCAAATTTTTAAAATTTCTACATGCTAACCTTTTGCTTTGTTGGTCTTTTATTGTGCATTTTACACAATAAGAACAGC